TACCTAAACCAAGAAATAGCTATGATATGGATTCAGCTGCAGGTATGGTTACATGTTGGTACAAATAAAGTCAATTTTCAATATTAACACCGTGCATTTCTTATAATTTAGATACTCAAACTTTTTTTGAATAAACTTGTTTCGTGCAGAAATCCTTCTGTAGCGTCTGTGTGTTTCCTGTTTACCATTTGATCGTTAAGCAGAACACGAAACAGGTGATTGAAGTTTAGCACTTGTGCATAAACGATATTAACAAGAATCACACCAATATCGGCAAACTTTCTGTCTTTAAAAATCATAAAACCATGACTTTCTGACAATGCATGTAATTTTACTATTAAGTCTTCGTCAAATTCTCAATAATATTGTATATTTCGTAAAGCGTCGGATTTATCTTTAGCCTGCCGGACCCAAACTTCATATACGTTCACAGCCAAAGTGTGGTTGTTTCTCATTGGTTTCCGTCTCTCGGTTGAGCGATTTGTATTTAGAAATTGTAATGCCTGTTGTAACAGCATTCCTCCCTCTATTTAACCCAAACTTGCTACAGCCTTCATTACAGCACCAACGCCCAACACACATTGAAATAGCATTCAAACTATTTTCCCTCCGTTGCTCCGCTATGTTTCAGCTCTGTCCAATTGATACTACCTCCCGACTAAACGTGTATGCTTATCTTGTTTGGACTCGTATCTTTGTCCTTTCCAACATTGGCGAGCGAATTTTGTATATTCGCATAAGAACGTGTAGTGTGCGATAAAAATCACGTTATGAAACAATCAAACAATTACACACGATGCTGTGTATTGTATGTGATTCAGCTTAAAGTAAGAATATAAATCAAATACATTCAGGACAATTTCCTTTATTACACTCAAACCATAATGAGTACCCATATACTTTGGTCGCTCCAGCGAAATGTTAATGCTACTAGCTAGTATCTCCCTTTTCTTTAGTTATTCTTGATGGTCATTTTCCGTGGATTGGTGAAAGTTACGTGTAGACACGGCAATGCGTAAGTTGCCGTTTCATAAATAGTCCGATTGCTCACTCTTACTGAATGTAGATTTTACTTTGACTTTCACAATTTACTGCTTGAATTATTATAGCGCTGATTATATACAAGTCAATCGTGGAAAGAAGCATTTTTTAATGATCGCGTCATTTGCTCTTTTTTTTTTTTACGGAATATTATGGCCGCGGACTTTGATTTGCCGATCAAAAACTGCAAAATGAAGAAACCTATCATCGTCTCCTCCTAAAGCTTGGGTCGGCTGCCCTTCTAAATTTATTCTAGTGTTTCCTTTTTATTACTTTTATACTTTACCCAACGATAAAGGTTTGCTGGTCATGAATTGTGTCAGGTTTGTAGTACTTGAGTACAGCACATAACAAATCATGATAATGATACCCGTAGAAAGACTCAAAAGACCGCCATTTTAAAATTGTCTGTGACGGGGATAAATTTCATATTAATATGTAATTATGAAGAGTTTGGGTGTCATGCATTTTAAACATATGGCTTTGAGCTTTCTTTAAATACTTCTTGCTGTAATTTTTGGGTTCCATGGTGGATTAATTTCATATGTATATTTTTGTAGATAAGCCTATTACTATATTATTATAATAATCAGGTGACTTATGGAGGTTATGGCAATAAAGCCTCTACTACTATTCGTAAGCCATTAAATAAACCGTTCATTTGGTAGCACAACAATCTTATGACGACATAAGCAAAAATAATTTGAGCAACGGCCATTACATGTCAGAATGTTTACTTTTCCTGGTTATGTTGCAGTCCCCCCGCTGACATTCGATTCAACTTCACATATGTGCTCTCATCTATTTATTTATGAAATAATCTTTACAGTCCATTGATGACTCCCGAATAAATCGTCCAATCAGAATATCGACTTAATTAAGAATTTTTACATGTAATAACAGACAATCGCTCGGATGAAATAGATACAAAAAAAAAAAAAACCAAACGTGTCTGAGACAAAAAAAAAATTAAATACATCCCCACGTATCCAAAGGAAAAAGAAAAGAAATTTTATATCGGCAATCCCCTTCTCCTCTCGCCATTTACAAATCATTGTCCAACAAAATTCATTAAATCACCGTTCATTAAAAAAAAACCAACATTTTCTAATCCAACAAAGCATTAAAATTACCAACTATCGTTTGTTATCAAATGAATACCTGTGACTGTCGCCTTTTCCATTATCATTTTGCGTCGTATTTCTCAAGTCTTCTATATGCGTTCTGATAACACATCCGTCATCAACTGGTGTGGGCGGGGACGGTGTAGGTCTTGGTGAATGTGTATCATTGTGTGATGGAGTCGATTGATTAGTAGGAGATAGTTGAAAAGTTGGTCGAGACGTGGTTGGAGATGGTGATGGTTGTATCATTTGGCGCTGTTGTTGATGTGTTGTTGTTCCAGGTACAGAATACGCATTATTCACTCGTTGCTCATACTCTTGCCCAGCCACTAGATATTCAATTTATAGGTTGGAAATTAAAATGTGAGTTCTCGCTCTTCCCTTCACCTGATTCTTGTCGCTCAGCCAACGACAACGTATGTAATGACGGGAGAATCTGCGGCGCCAAATGACGCTGTGCAGGAATCATTTCCCTAGCGCTAGCACCACCAGAGAACGATGAAAATGTAGCTGATGATGGCGAGACGACTATATGTTCACTTGATGCCTCACCTGGATAAGTTTGTCTGCGTTGCTGGTCGTATCCGTAGTCTGGTGTACGGTCTTCGCTGCGTGCGGCTGCTGTAGATGGCGGATGAGTAGGAGATGTCGATGTTGCTTCGCGTGAAGGTACAGACATGGGAGGAAGACGAGTAGGATCTTCTGTCGTTGGTGACGGCTGTTGAGGAGTTGGTTGAGATTTTGCTATTGGATACGGGTGATGAGCATATTGTTCATGTTGTGGACGCGTGTACACGGGTGGATACGGTTGTGGTCTTATCGGTGAATATGCGTGAGAGAATCCTGTGGGCGGTTGGTACGGTCGCGACGAAGGAGCTACGCTCGCACCTCTCTCGGAACTTACTTGCGACTGATGTTCTGGTGATAGCAAATCAGATATTGCCGGCATTTTTTGATTTGCCACGACATGTGGATTCAGCGCAGGATCGATATTAGCTTCCGGGGGATAATCACCCTTTGGCGCAGCAGGGATGTGCGGGTGAGGAGGATATGGCGGCGGATAATACTCGGTAGGATATCCATACATTCCTGACCGAGCAGGATGGGTAATGGCAGGCGAGCGATAAGCCGGGTCCATTGTGTGATCGCGCGTTGGCGGACGGTCACCATAATGCGACCATGGACTTGTGCGTTGTGGCGTTGTATATGGACTAGGCGAGTCGTACGAATACGGCCGGCTAGGTGATTCTGAAGAGGTCATGCGATGAGGTGTCATTGATTCGTAATATCCTTGTTGGCTGGGATATATGGGTGCTGGTGGTGGACGACTATATTCGGGCGGTGGTGGGTATGCGTATCGATGGTCTGGCAATTCGTGCATTGGCGGTGGATGTGGATAGTATGCATACGGCGGATATACGTATCTGCGATCGTACGGAACAGCATACGGATGTGGATACGAGTGATATTCGCTTATATATTCTGGACGATCGGACCATTGCATTGGAGGACGGGGTTGGGGATATCCAGGGTACATGTGATCATAGTGTGAATACGGATGGCGTGGCCGAGCGATTGTTGGACTTCGGGACATGGAATCTTTGGTAGGTGTGAATGATTTATCATAGCCACTGGAAACTGATTTTTCGGATATTGCCCTGTCGTCACGTCCTTCTGTAGTATCTGACGAATTATGATCGTCGTCATCAGCTCTTGACCGTTTCTTGGTCGATTCACCTTGGATGTCGGTTGTCTTCCTCTTTTGTAGTCTTCTGTCAATATGAAAAATACGATTGTGGGTAACAGGTGCTCCACTTTATTTTTTTATGTAAAAAATATAAAACTGCGGTACTACCTTCTTACTCTTATTTCTTTTCTTATGCGTATTTTCAATCCTTGATCTGCAAATGACCTAGATAGAAAAGTCGACTCTACAAAGATTTGAAGCCTAACGATTAAAAAGCGAACATAATATTGAAACCTATTCTTTTTCTATCTATGGCATTATTCTTAGTTTAATGCATAGATCCACATCTCAATTGTCAAATCTATGGCATTATTCTTAGTTTAATGCATAGATCCATATCCCATTGTCCAATCTATTACCTTCCATTCCAGGGAATCTCTTTGCAGAGTAGACTGTAAATATATCCGAGTATATCGATTTGCAATGATATACTTCACGACTGGAAAAATAGTCAGCAAATATAAATAATTCAGTACTATATAACGCTATTACAATAAATGATGATGGGTTCCAGGTGTTGTTGCTACAGAAGGTTTTCAAGTTTGATTATTGATCGTGACATACTTTATGATCTCAAATAAGCTTAATTTCAGCCTGTACGTGCCCTCCATTCGCACAGAAAGATCAGGAAACACGAAAAAACCAGCGTCCGAGTTATCAATGTCTTTTAAGTGATATAGAGACGACACGGTAGAACCCGTGGTTGAGCGTGTTTTCTTATCACGCAGGAGATGGAGTTCCTCATCAGAGTCGGGTGCCACAAGAGAAGCGTACATGAAAAAATAGGGGTTTTGCAAAAACGAACTATAGAATGTGGGAACGAGACGATGCATGTTAGATAATGTATACCAAAAACAATGATTACACAAGACGGAATTAAGGTGCAAGGCTTTTCTCATACCTCTTCTCGGTTCGTGGTTGCTTCTTATCAAATACCTTCAACTGAATTATCGGAGGTGGATCAATTGGTCTTCTGTCGGCTAAAAGATGCAAGAGACGTTGGGAATCGTTAATATAGGTTTCGCTTGTCGGTAAACGAATTGCACGCGCATTCAGAATTCGACCCTCGCGAACCAAATCGACCAGCGAGAGACACACTCTTGGTAAACGTCTTTTGAAAGCGAATTCATTATAATTATATATTGGTATGCTTCTGTCTTTCTTTTTTCATGGTTTCAACTGCCGTGACAATAAAAGACGTCACCATATCCATCTCATCATTGTTATTAACGTTGTTTGATTACCTTTTTCTCCAATGCCACACATTCTCGACTGTTTCGGCTGCTGTCGTAGTATTAGTTCGTATTCGCTATAATTGAAAGGTATGCGGGTGGATTTTTCAGTACAATATATAATCAATTACATTCAATTCGGCCTGCATGCGATAAAAATCTCGACATTAATCTCTTACATTTCATGCCTATCTTCTCTTCGCTGTTTTACAAGAGCAAACTGGTATTGTGCGGTATCGTCCATAACTATTTACTTTTTTTTTTTTTTCGTTTTCGAGTAGCTTCCTTCCAGAGCTTGTTGCTTATTAGCAGGTAAGTAATCCGACCGAGTAATAACGACCCCAAGATTGTTCTATTGACAGATAATGGTTTTGGAACAAAGAGTTGAAACAACGAGTAAAACAAGCGATTTTGGGGGAGGGGGGAGGGCGTATTAATAACCGGGGACTAGGAATGTCAGCGAAAGACACGGCATGGGATTAAGTGATTTCGGTGGATGTGGTTGGCCGAAGATGGGTGGAATGCGAGTTGGGTTATCCAGCCCCTGAGCACGAGAGTATTTGGTTTAATTGCAAAATAAAAAAAGACAATATATAATATACAATGGAATATATTTGCAAGAAAAGAGGGAAAAAAGGAAAAAAAAAAAAAAAAGAGTATTTATTCAAAGTATTCTATAACAATTTGGTTTTGAAAAAACCAGATTTAAAACCGGTGTTGATTATTGTCGTCCAATGAAATTCGAGGGAACCTATGCCCAAACAGTTTCGTTTGATTTATTTTAATATAAATAGTTATTGTTGCCACTGATCGTTATCTTTTAGAGATTGGGAGATGAGATGGGCATATGGAATGAATATGATGGGATAAATAAATAGAATGGAAAAAAAAAAGGGCAAGGGGAGAAATAGAAATGAGAAATGCGTGCGTGTGCAGTCGGTAATAAATAAATGGGTGGGTGGGAATATAGAGTGAATGCGGATATTAAATATTCTTTTCTCTCTTTCTTTTTTAAAGTACTCTGTGTAAATATATGTGTGTAAGCAAATATGTAGGACAAGTTGCAAAGCCACTAAATATGTTATTTGCCGATTATATGTGCTTACTATTACCAAATACCGAATAAGATATACAGGCTGAATTGTATACATATCGATATAGTAATACTTTTTAATACTTTTTTCCTTTCATTTTTTTTCCATTCATGCACCTCTTTTATTATCATTTCCACTTACCAAGACGAAAGCAAATTTTACCTAAGTATTATTATTTGTGTTTGCTGGTTTTGTGAGAGATAAACAAATTGTAGCATTTGAAACCATCCTTGTTAACCCCAATTAGCGGCGATCTAGGGATCTAATACTAATATCTACCCCTAAATCCGGGAGAGTTTGGGACTACTTTTCGGGTTGACTATCCAATGGTCATCAAAATTTTGTTATATAAATATACCTATTGTAACTGGTGTTGTTCTTATCACTCGGCTGCACAAGAAGCATGCAGAATGCACTAGAGTGTTACAAATAGAAAGGAAAAGTGTAGTGATTCCCAATGGCATTATAACGATGAGACGAAATTTATCCTGGATACCCCATCTGTGATGACAAAAATTAGTAATTGTAACAATAAGCCCAAATCAAACGTTCTGATTTTAGAAATAAATATCTATAAATATCTCTTTTCCAAACATTTCCGGTCTACAGGGAAGGGTCATTATTATTGTTAATGTTAAAGTTATTAGGGGTTGTGATTGTGATTGTGATTGTTGTTGTTGTTGTTGTTGTTATTATTGTTGTTGTTGTTATACTGTTGTTATACTGTTGTTACTGTTGTTACTGTTGTTACTGTTGTTACTATTACTGCTCTTGCGGTTGTTATGGTTGCTACTGCTCTTACGGTTGTTGTTATACTACTGTCTATACTATCTGTACCAACTATGCTACTTGTATTGCTTGCTGCTAATTTTATCATCTGCATACTTGGCTCCACGTGATCATTCTCTTTTTCACACGCAAGTTTTGAACATACCATTCCAAGGGCCACGATCCACGCCCTATGAAATGAAACGCTTTTTCTCCGTTTCTTGACATAGTCAATTCATTGCGTATCGACACGGGGGGCACGCTCTCACATTGTTGGGTATAGGGCAAGGGATGGATTGGATTTCATTCACAACAATTACAACAAATTAAATTTAATATTTTCCCCAAATTGTATCGTCGTTTCTGATAAAAGTTCTTTCTGTCTTGGTTGTACATGAAAAATTGCAATATTGTAGAACTGCATCACATTATTCCTACCGAGTCTTAGAATCAATTATATTTGTATTTGTTATACCTAATATTAATTCCTTTATTTTTATCATCGGACGAATTCGGGATTTCTACGCCGTGTTGGATCAAATTATCCACTCTATTCTGTGGTATCAAACACCACCTGAAATCCGTATCTGGAACAGTGTTACTTTTCGTGTAAGCAATATCGCAGCAGGGACCTGGGTTCCGTTCTAAACCATCTGCAAGATAATGTCTTTCTTTCACTTGTCTGCTTACCAAAGCAAAGCAAAAAAAAAAAAAAAAAGTCAAATACGCTCACTTTTTCCCTGACAGTATTAAAAGGGAGGGTTAGGTTGTTTCAACGTAATAGTAGTTTATTGGCGCAGTAAATTACATAATAAATATAATCAACATGCTGTTCTATGTAACACTAATTACCTTGAGATAATTAGTGGTTCCGGATTGTTTTCCAGAGTCCAACCACTTTGGTACCATGCGCTTTCTTAGCTTTTCAGAAAGCAAGCATCCCTTTGGTTATAAACAACGGTGAAAAGTAATCGCCGTTTAATATCAACGATCGTAGTAGAAAACGAGGGATACTCGCCATAACCCCAAAACAGCAGCAATTGACAGAAACAGGCAGTAGGGCGTCAAGGTATCAGGTGCCCTTCCGAACTTATTGTCTGGTGCCAATATTGGCAAGTTTTTTTTTTTCGTTTGAATGTTGGGTTTTTGGAATGACTGTTTCACAATCATGATTTACATTAATGAATAATAAAAGTAGGTCTCTTGGGACGATCAATCTGCAATAAAAAAATGCAGATAAGATTCAGGAGGTATTCCCATTGCCGAAAGAGCAGGCTGTGTTCCCTTATTCATATGCCCCATAGGCAGTACATGCATTTTGCATACGTTTCGTTCGTTGGCTAACACATTTGTAACACAACTGATTGTGATAGATTCCTTATTCGTCGAATACCTACAAGCTCAAGCTACTCCAAGACCAAAAACTTGCATTTGCACAATTCCAAATGCAGACTACAAGATGTAGTACAATTACGACGGCGAAAAGGATCCGGGTTTAAGATCGGACTCTTCTCCTTCCAACTTTAGAATACAATCATCACGGAGTGAGAAACAATTAACGCGAATATACATGTACGATGCATCCAAACCAGTCGGTGCATTATTCGGTGCATTGTGTCAATCAGTTACCGAGGCAATATCCATAAAAGATGAACAGGTTTTCTCCTCCATACGACGGTAGAACAAGAAAACGGGACACGCGCTTGGAAACAAACACTGGTAACAGGCAGGCAGTGTTTGCCTTACTATGCACAAAGGAGTAATGGGTTGTACAACTGCAATATAATGTACGGTGTACGCAAGCATAACGCCACACAAATATTTCAGGGGTTCGGCCCGGCTATACAATAATCTAATCTTTTGTCATTTCGCACTTTTTTGGTATCGACAAAGATATCGGAATGTTCCCCCATAACCATCGAAAAGTCCATGTATGACTTTCGGGATGACGTTTATGCGATGATGCAATCAATTTACGAGTCCATCACGAGATGTATGAGATGATGCGGTGTTAAGCCAACTATTTGTATCAATTGATTTCATTGGAATTGCTTTGTTTTTGCGTGGGTCATTGAAGAAAATTCGATCGATCATTATGTAAACGCCCACACTAAAAATATTCCGTTGTTAATGGGCTTAATCCCCAGGTTTAGCAAGACGGTTGTTGGATGTTTGTTTACAGAGCTAATACTAACGAGAATTTGACGTTCAAAATGGCATGCTCTGAACGTGGTTTAATTCATTACATGCACTATCGCAAAAGTCTTTCACGTTGTCACCTCACCAAAGCCCCTTTCCGGATAACAGCATTCACTGGGAAATGGGTTTGAATCCGTTCAATTAATTACAAATGACTTGCAGTCTCTTGGTTCATACACCCGAGCGAGTTTGAAATACAAGAATAATTGCTTTATTGTCAATGGACATACAATCAATATTTTACAAGGGTATAAGTTCGAGGGGCTTTGTTGCACACCAGACCATGTCGTGCCGATAATTGGATCTTGCAGTCATCGGGGAACTGGGCGGACGTCGGGAGTAAAAAGCCGAAGCCACATATTAAAAAGATCCCGGCTAGTGAATCTATGGAATTCTCGTAGAAACTTCGATTGATGCTTGCCATGGGCTCTATTTTCAATGTGTTGACGATAGAAATCTCGAAATAGTCGACTTGTTTGACCTTTTCCCAAGAAGGCTGGATTCGATCCGATCAATGTTCTACTGATCCCAAATGGCTAGTAGTAGGATTAGGTTTAACGTTAAGCTTTGTACTCGAGTGGCGAGCTTTGTACTCGAGTGGCGTTACGTTCATTGTGTCTGGTTTTGTTGTTGTACACTCATGTTCGGACAGCTTCTATGTATCATAACGCCACATTGCAAATAACAAACAAAGCTCTGGGATGCAAAACCAAATGCGAGCAATGACTCGCTCAAAACAAATGATCGATATAGTGAAGGTATTTGTGTAAAGGGGTTTATATGTTCGTAAGAAGTATATTAATGTTGCAACACTTTAGATAATGACGTTGCCAGTGCAACAATAATAATATCCATTAGCGCTATTACTATTGTTTGCAGTTAACCATAAAAATTCTGATCCTCTTAACATTCGGCGTGTAACAGGACACAAATAGAGCAAGGGTGCGTTTCTATCCAATTACCCGAGTTTAATGTGGCTGTTCATTAATGATTACCAGAGTTAAAGAGCGTCGATCCTGATTGTGCTCGCTCTCTATTTGTCGGAATAAGAACAGATGGGAAAACAAGATGTTTTATTTCTGATACAGAAAGAAACTTGGAAGCAGAGCAAGAATTAGATGAATAAGCATCGAGTGTAACCAAATACAGGTTTTAAGTCTAATGTATTCTTCTGTGTTATAAAAAAAAGTAGAGTGTACGTGCTACAAAGCTAAATGACTCTTTTTCTTTTTTGTCGGACTGGTAGCCTGTTCTTGTACATCCGATGAAACGATGATATTCGTAATTAGAACCAGAAACAATTAGCCAACCTAGATTATTGTGTAACTTGAGGCATAATAATAATAATAATAGTAATGTACCGTCTATTTGCAAATCGCGCTTCTACGGATGCTGGAAGTGACGAGCTTTTGACAATAATAGGCTCATTAAGTTGCTTTGTTGAATAAAAAGTTGCTATTTTCATTTACAAATATATCCTAGTCTTTTTGTTGTGTGCATAAAAAACGATAACAACAACAACAAAACAACAAAACAACAATAACAACGACAATGATGACAGCAGTAACGGCAACAACAACGGCACAACAACAGCAGCAACAACAGCAGCAACAGCAACAAAAACAACAGCAATTACAATAACAACAGCAGCGAAAACAACAAAAACAACAACATAACAACAACAACAAAAAGCCTTTGTCTAATTACACCAACACCGCAAATGGGTCGTATTCACTTCGCACGCAATTATCCTGTAATATGCTTGTTGCATATTCACCCCCATCTAACAAGGTTGGCAACTGGCAGCGAGACAATGATGTACATACAGTTCGTATATACAAACAGCGATGCAATCAGAACAAATCTGCGCTTGCGATTGAAAAACGTGACTCTTTTTTTTTTTTTTGATGCATTTCCCCCAAACCCCAACAAATTGCGTCCAAGACAAAGAAGCGGAAAATTGATACCGTAATGGCTACGTAATGCGACAGAAGATAATCGGCGCGGGCGGATGAACAGATAATCGCAGCGCTAGCGACTAGCAAGTTTGTGAGCTCCAGTCCAACGAAAATTCGACTTTAAAATAAAGTCTCGCCACTTGGCCAATAATATTAAACGTGTTTGTTAAATAATGGTGGTGAATTGACCACAAGTACACCCTACCGTTCTTAGTTGACTCTTTTCAAGTCAAAAGCAAGACCCTGAAAGACGTCTAAAAGAGACTTGAATAATTGGAGAATTTATACCTCGTGGATGGAGGGGTGTCATTATAAAATGTAAGATACGCATTCATGTTGAAAATTGACTTACGGGGATAGTGAGAAGGCCTAGACTATTTCATTGAGCAAGCATCCTAAATTTCCTATCATGCGGTCGCTTGCTCGCGCTATTAAAACTTTTAAGAAGGTACCATCCTAACGTGATTGGTTTTATCGTTTACTTCTAATTAAGCGTGTATTGCTCTAATGGTATCATTTCTATCGTATATAGATTATTGTCTTGTTTTTACATTAATTTAGCAATCGAACTACATGTTTTACATGGTTTAAAAAAAAATAAAATAAAACGACAGCTTCGGTTACTTCCAATTCGAAACGGAGAAGTATCTTGATTTAACAGTCATATCATACTTAGCTGAAGGATGGGTCAATATTTAAAAGTATGTAATCTCAAGATTATAATTACCTCATTATTTTGCGTTCTTGACCTGTCCTCGCCCTTCGACTTTCCCTCTCGTTATTACTAACAAGGCCAACTTGTGTTACTAAAGGTGGCTATGCAAGGCTTGTCAAATTAAAGTAAGATATATTCTTATAATCCATCACAATTGTGTATTTTGCATAGCATCATGCGTAGATAATGCGCATTTTCAACACGGTCGGGGTATTTTGACTGTGCTGGGAAATATGAAAGTCATTGATTAGCGATGGTTTATATTACAATTTATCGCAGCACAAAAATTTCTTGGAGAATTACGCGTAGGGCTTCTGAGATTATCTCGCGAATCAAAAAAGAGAATGTGCATGTATTCAATTATGCGTTATAAATAGGTTAGCGTTTTTATGGGAGTCTACTGTATTTATAAAAATTTTATTATTTTTAAAGCTAATCTTTTTAAAAGTCCTATTTTAGATGTCAAATGTTCGAAGAGCCAAAATTAATTCATCGTGAGTAAGACTAAGCATATTAAAATGTTTATTGAGAACAAAACTAAAATGTCTATTAATGTCAAACATAATACCGATATCTAATACGCTGGTCTTTTTAGTTAATCGACGTACTTGTTGACAGTTAAGATAACTCGATCATTATTGTACTATTACGCTCTTCCAGAACTGACAGGTAATTAAGCTCCACACGTATCTATTCTCAAAATGATGTGTTGGGAAGTAATTGATACATTAACGAAAGTTTGTAAAGTTTTACAGTACTTGTATACGCGGAGGCAGTTCACTCTTATGTACTCGGCAGCGTCATTTAGCGTGTGAGTCTCACCGTAAGCACGACCTTGAGAGCAGGAATGGTGGCCGACCCTTACTCAAAACTGAGATGTCCCGAGCAAAAGTCGAGCCTACACCTCGCGTTCTTTATCTACCTTTTGAGTTATCGGGTCCCCAACCTGATCACCTGATCTTACTAATAGATATTCGCCCGCCGGTGCACAAAACATGCAGTAAATTTTAATTCATTTTCTCTTTGGTTATACTGTAAAAGTTGAAGTCGTCTTTATCATTGTAACATTTATTTTCACGTAGGTTAATAAACCTTTTTTACCAAACATAAACGCGCATTGAACGCATCAGTTTCTACCGGGTTGAGCAATGAAACATGAAAATGAAGATGGTAATTATAACAGCCGTTTGATGTTAGATTAATTAAACATGTTAAGACTGTATCTTTAAACCAAAAATATATGTTGTTCTGGACTGAGACAACTGAGTTCTGGGCCGAGCGTCTGGGTTCCGAACTGAGACAACTGGGTTCTTGACTGAGTGACTACTGAGACAGGTCCCAAACTCAGACACAACAATATCACTTGTTGAATAAAATGAGCAGGGGATGCATGCTTACTTAAACGTTACTATTTGTTTGAGTAAAGGCGTATCTTTACGTGCCTAGCTCATACTAATAATAATTATCTAATGTAGAAGTAACGCTAGAACAAATTCTTTGTTACATTGAGTTTAAGACGTTTACATTAAATACACAATAATAGCTAAGAGCTCAAGGAATTTGTTTCTATTATATATAGCACAAATGCACAGTCCGAGAGATTACTTGGATAATATAAATTATCGCATTTCTAATATTGCTACATCATATAATTAGGAATCTAATACGTAAAGCAAAATTCTAGAGAGTAAAATCCAGAATTCGCGCAAATAACGTTTACAAGTGGCTGATATACGTGGAATGGTTGAAAAGTTCTGATCGTGGACATTTATCTCAACAACTTAAACTGCCCAGCATATTTAAAAACAAAGACTATAGTTGCAAGCCTGAGGTTCCAATGAACAGCTGAAAAATAAGTTGGCATAAATTGACCTGGTAATTGTCGAGTTATGTACACTTGTCGACGATACCCTAAACAATTGAAAAATAACCATGGTTAGAAAGAATGGGAATTTCTAATTCGTCATAGAAATTAGAAACGACATTGATAATTTTTCTAAACTGTAATGACTTGCAAAATTTTATCGCAATCCGATGTCTGCAACAAATGTTTCAAACATCCGACATTTGATTTTAGAATACTGCAAATCACTTCATATGCATTATAACATCATGAATATAATTTTTATAATTTCCTATCTCTAAGCAATTTGTCGTCCGCAAAATCCCAGTCACGTGATTTTATTTACGGCAATGGTCCCGGTAATAAAAGATTGCAAGAATTGCATAGAATACTGGAGAATGAATTTTTGAAATTATGTTTAAATCGTTTTTTTAGTGTACCATGAAAAAATGGATACTACTCAACAACTAACATGTCAACTCGCACCAGCTTTTTTTTCAAAACCCCAAGCTTTGAATCTTTGTCTTTATTTTTAGGTAAGACTAGCACCTGTCAAGATAAAAATCCATGATCAAAACCTTCAACTACCCCACGTATATATATTTTTATTTGCGTTATCACAAATAAACTTTTGTCTAAACGTTACTTTATTTTACTGTCTGCTAGAATGCCCGAATTGTGATTTAAAGTCACGAACAACACTCGATACATTTAAACCAGAATTTGAATTATGCCTTCCCGGGTCATCTTTTAAAATCGTAATCGACCGATTTGCTGATAAGCCTTTTGCGCAAGTTTGTCCCCAATACGCTTTAAATCTTGGTCTTATAAGTGTAACATATGAGGAGACGACACGAACGGAGAATATAGTCTGATCAGTCATATCATCGGATTGACGCACATTCTCATATCCACACAGAAAGTGTGAAAGGGAGTGCAAACGTTTGAATATGATTACAGTTTGTATCTAAAAACCAATGTTTTAATATTAGCAGACTCAATTCAGCGATTCCGAATGACAATGAAAAGAGTTTCCAGACTTGACCTTATAAATTATATAACATTGCCATTAATCGCATGTTGACATGGCAAAAAAGATGGCTAAGATTAAGCTTAAGATATGCCAATGAATTTGTTCAGCGTTAAATGCGAGGTGGAATCCAATGGTACCATGTCGCTTAGCAAAAGCAAATTTTTCCGGAATAAAAGGCTATAACAAACGAAAAGCTAGCAAATATTTAGATGCCAATAATTTATACGGATAAGCTATGTTGCAGTTTTAGAGCAAAAACAACAGTAGATCCGGTATCGAAATTGACAATTTTAAGTAAATAAAACGCGTGAAAAAAAGTCACCAAACTACCGAGGTAATTTGAATCTAGTTTTTATACTACTTTTAGTCTAGCCATTTGGTAAAGATTGTCCCGTGAAACGGGACTCGCATCGTGGATGGAGGTCGGCCATCAGTGCCGTGTCTCCAGTGCCGTGTCTCCAGTGCCGTGTCTCCAACTCATACCTGTCCATGATACTCATGGACTATAGATTGACTCACTAATACACATTCAATTATCAATATTTGCACACTTTAGCGATAACATTTATATAATCACGGTGACGCATTCAGTATAGACAAGCTTCTTCGTCCGTGTATTAAATCAATATTAATATTAATCTACCATATAGACAAACTATGCAGTGTTTGATAGTTCAGTTCTAGCAATAATTTTCTCTGGTTTTCGTAATTCTAAGAAAAGTGACAATTCTATCTTCGGTACTTGTTTCAAAATTTGCAATATTTAGAAAAAGCTTTTAATATTAATTACATTAGCTATACAGTTTATCAATTTGAAGGAGAAATTAAGTCAAACTGTATCTCCAATTTTAAGAAACACTCACCAACAAATTTATAAACTTGACACTTTTAAAACTTCAAATTGCAGTCTCTTTTTTTCCCCTGCCGCCACAAAACGGCAATCTGATCGTATCCATGTAAAAAATGGAATAGTGAAAGAAACTAACAAAACTGTGCTGGCTAGCCACTACAAAATCATAGAGGCAAACAGCTATTTTCCACTCACATGATCTAAAACCATGCGATTCGCCACAATCTGTTCAGTAGAACAAACTTTCGATAATAATATTAATAAAAACAATTGGTATTTAGCTTCGTAATAGTTGACTGTCATTATTAATTGTTCATACGTCTTAAAGATAAGTGTGACTTGACGGGCTGACAGTGGTATCTACTGTATAAGTGCTTGATGATAATTGGTGGTGTTGTGACAGAATAAGAATAGCAATAGGAGATCGCAAACTCTATATACTATTTAATCCAACATGTCAAAACTTATGTATGCTGAAAGATTTACCGTCTATAACAGAAGCTATTATTCAGGTTGAGTCGTTTAATCGTATGAAAACTTATGTCTGAGGAATGTAACAAACAATACATATAGATATGTAATTTGTTATGGTCGAATGCATTGATACTAATTGGATTGAGAACTTCTTATGAATATCAATATCAAATTGCCTGTTTGTATGATTGGCACACTATAATACATACGTACATTAATAAGAGATTCATATAGCAAATTAATTAAACAATTTCTTTCTTTGAATATGAATGTTGCGCCTGCACACAATATGATACTTTTTCTGTTGATAATTACTGCATATGCTTGTCCTTCAGCCGTCATTTATCTCTCCAATCTGTAAACATCTGACAACAATTGCAAATTGTTTGCGAGCAAAGGGCAATTGGCAGCTTATTAAAGATCATAAATATTATTAATACAAAGAACTCCTGTTAATCGTCTTGCATTTACTAAAAAAAGATCCAAAATTAAAACTGCGGTGGAAACTAAGCCGTATCTCTCCATGACACCATCACAAAACAGCGTCATAGAATACTCGTAAGCAACGAACGTGCTACATCAATAATAAATACATTATCGCCGCCGAGATCTTATTTACGATGACCCATCTTAATCTTACGCACAAACAATACATAAACAATAGCCATAAATATAAAGAGGCAATTACCCTAACCACTCAACGTTGATCAAACTTGTTTATTGACCATATCTAAAGCTGAATGGAATATTCAGAGCCAGCGAACCAACCAAAATTGTCGACATTGAAAATTAGATAGAAGAAAACAATACGGATAAAACAATATCTTTTACCGATACCGAACGATCATTCGGTCAAACTGTCAAATAGGCAAAACAAAGCAATGAATCTTTCAAAGTTACCGATCGTACGTCATACAACTTGATCAACGGCATACATAATTGTTCGATTGTGATTATTCAATCGTGAAATCAATACGAGGGTTACACATTGCTGCGACTCTAAGAGCTCTAAATGTAAGGTGATTTACAATTTCGCACACCATACATAATATACCATTGTCGACGCTTTCTATTGTTATGTCACGTACATTTACCCACTAATTTGGGCATATGCATTAAATAATATGTTCAAACAATGGATTTCGTGATGACACAAAATCGTATGTATTGTTGCAGCGGCCAACAATATCATTAGACATTGTAATACACATTGTATAATGCGAAATCGACTATCACAATAGCAACAATAACACAATAGCAAAAATCAACCAATAACATCAAACCGATAGTGGAATATGAGGAATATATAAATATCCTATCATTCCATTGATGTTTACCAACAAAACAACAAGCCTTTCGATAAGACTTAACAACAACTAAAATTACAATTCACACGTTGAGGAAAAAAAGAAAAAACTCTTGATTTTCATAACACTTATTATTCGGTATCTTTTTTTACTTTAATCGTTCACAATGATCATTGCTTTACCATCAAGTAAGTAACGCAAGAAGAGAGAATTCATTATGTATAGGGGTGCGAATAGTATAAACGCTAGATACTTGATGCTAATTATCGCAATCTTTTATCCATAACAGATCTATTACCACTCTACCTTGTCTTCTACGCCAAACCTCTTCTCCAAACGATACTTGTTCTCCTCGTTTTATCGTACATTTTATGGTATATACGTAAGTAAAAGCTGTGTTTATTATGCTCGAGTTGCCGTTTATTTTTGTTGTTCTCGGTTTTTCTCACATATTCTACTTTTTCATTCACAAACATTAGGTTTTGTAATAAGCTTGGCTGCCAAAAACGCTACATCTATACCTACAGAAGCCGCCCGTCGATATCTCATTGACGGTAACAATAACGTACTTGCAACAAACTTGAAGATAATATGGGCGTCTGCACGAGTGTTGTCTGTGAACTAAACAAAGCGAGCGAAAATGGATATTACAATGAGTTATTTGTGTGACTCTAGCTAGTATCACAGTAATTATAATTACTCTATTCGCCGGCATTTTGTTGGCCATTAACGAAGAAACAAACGTTTTGCTAATAATTTTGTACATAATTTACTGTAAAGTATTGTTCAAATGATGTTCGGGGTATTGGAATAAGGGGATAATTTACATGGCTGGTAGATTTGGAAGATATAATGGCTTGGTTATTTTTAATTAATATTCGCAATCTTTTATTAATCGAAATTAAAATGTAACAAAAAAAAATAATACTAAGTATACGAAGAGACTTTTTGTAAAAGTTTACTTTGTCGTATTAATAATAGTTAATAAATATTTCCATAGAATGGCTAATCCCAAACCATTCTATCGTAAATCTTTGAATTGCGTGGAATTGATACAGTTTCTTGTTCTTTAAAATTGAACTGCTGTTGATGCGAAACGCCTATGGACAACGTGTTTTGCACTCGATCATCAAGTTAAAATATTAAGGCATAAGGTTTGAACAGTAAGATTCCGTTGAAGGTAATAGGAATAGGTAATTCTTGTCAATATACAATTATCCAATACCAGAGTAGTGCGAATCAAGCCATTAGTAATTTCAAGATTATGTTTCCAACTTGCGCCATTCGTCATGTTTGCACGGATCTAATTTCGAATGACTATAAAGTATTGACGATAAGAAAGCAAGTGAATCTCCTGAGATGGTGGCTGCTGCACGTCTTACTCGCGCAGTAAAATTTGGTTTATTTATATCATAATGTTTTTACGTATGCAACCGTTTTTCATATAAGAAAAAACTCCAATGCTGTAAGCGTATCTTTTAACTAACACCCCAGATCAACCGATGGACCGATTCACCTTATGATAAAGCCTTCGTTAGAGAGATAAAACAAATAGTACATTCTTGATCTTCTGTGCGCGCGCCGTCGGGTTTACTGAGATATAGCGTAATAGTAAGTTGTCCACTGCCAAAGTAGGACAAACCAACTTTAATAGTTAAAATTAAACTTAGCTTCATTTGCACCACTGGCGATCGACAGTCACGCATTTATAAATTTTTTAACGTCGATGTAATTGTGTCACATCTCCAAATTTGCAAAGGGAAGAACCAGTTTTAAAAAAAATCCTAGCCTATTAAGTCCCATACTGCTCTCATGTCAGTACAGTCTAGCAACTATTCGACAAATGGGAATGCTGAAGCCGCGACTGGCCCGTCTGCTTCAGAAAACACTGGAGCATTTCAGTCTGTAAAAACATATTTATCGAACAAAGACTACAAATTCTATCTGTGTCTATCCGCCACGGCTGTATTGGTTGGTGCTGGAGTTTATTACTTTTCGTCCTCACCAAAGTCGAAGAAAAAGAAGCGACCACCAAAGAGAAGGCATCAGGGAACCGGAGTTAAAAAATCAGAACCACGATCTGGTATTAACTGTATTCCAGAAAGCGTTCAATCTTTGCATTCTATACATATTAAACGTGATTCATCTATCTTTATCGATCTTACCAGCAAAAAATAAAGAGGATGTTGTAGAATACGAAAAATTTACTCCCGAACAAATAGAGGCTTTGCCAATGGAGGTTTGTTCAGAATTCATCATTATTATTACCCAGGTTCTTTATTTTGTTAACCGAATTTGATCTTGATGTTATACATAGAAACGCATTGATGCTGCACAGACGTTAAAAGAACGTGGTAATAGAGCGTTTGGAGCCAAACGATACGGAAAAGCCATCGACTTGTATACATCTGCGCTGGCTTTCAACAAAGACTCTATATATTACAGTAATCGTGCAGCATGTTATTTCCATACCCAACAATATGAAAACACAATAAATGACTGTAACGAAGCATTGGTCATTGACAAACATTACATAAAGGCTTTGAACAGACGCGCATCTGCTTATGAGTTTACAAAGCAGAATCGTACAGCTTTGAACGGTATGATCATATATTCTCGGTTATATTTACGCATAATTAGTAGCCGAAAGCTTAACATGTCCGACTTGCTATGCACAGACTATACTGCTTCATGCATCATGGACAACTTTAGAAATGAGAGTTCAGCAGAAGCTATCGAAAGGTTATCAAAGTTGGTTGCCCAGGAAGAAGCACACGAGATGATGCGGGTAACTAGTTTTATTGTAATTGTTAGTTTGGGCGTGAATGTCAATTATTTACCAAAGAATGCCCTGTCATTCACTGTAGGATCGACCGAGTCGTCTACCATCAACCAAATATGTTGCAAGATATTTTGATGCCTATGGGATAGGTTGATTTAAATAGTATTTGCATTTATTCATTTGATATGTTATTCGTATACAATGTTACGTATCAACGTGGTACTCAAAGCCGTTTGTTTCATCTTTTGTATTCATTTATTCGCAGACAAACGTCGACGTGCCGATGGAGGTACGAACGGCGAAATAACCTCGGATTCCGAGAACAAAGGCGAAGAGTATTATGAAAAAGCGATGCAACACGTACGACAACACAGGTGGCAAGAAGCCATGGAAGCTTTTGATAAAGCCATCGAATTAGGCTGTTCGCACATGGCTGAGGCTTATGAATACAGAGGATCATTCCACTTTTTGTGTGCGTCTACCGATAAAGCACTAGCAGATTTGAACAAAGCACTTGAATTGAAACCAGATTTTACTAGAGCTCACTTGAAGAAGGCTACTATCTACATGGAGCAAAGTGAGTCGAAAAACGTTTCGAAAATGTACTGTATTCTGTATACGTTCCAACTGACTATTTACCTGCTTTTAGACAATGGCGAAGAGGCAAATTCAGAATTCGAAACGGCAATACGCAAAGATCCCAACAACGCAGACATATATTATCACAGGTAGGATAATACGAGAAGGCGTGCTTGTAATCTTTTGTTTCAAGCGCATAATAATCATATATTCATGTTCACGTGTAAACATGTTTGTAACAACAATGAAGGGGCCAAGGTATCATTCCAATAATATTCATAAACGAATCTATCATCAGCTTGGCGATGTGATGGTTTCAATTGTCTAATTCTTCCAACGATTTCGAATTTACGCACTGCAGTTAACTTTGTGACCAATAAACTCGAAGACGCCATCAAGGACTATGAAAAGAGCATCCAACTTTATGACAAGTATTTATATACGCACGTTCAACTAGGCTTGGCAAAATACCGTCTTGGTTTTATTGAGGAAGGTTATAGCATACTCGAAAAGTGTCTGGAGAAATTTGGTGAATCTTCCGATATTCATAATTTTCTCGGAGAACTGTGTTACGATTTACAACGCTTTGACGAAGCGCTAGCAAACTTTGAGAAAGCAATATCGTTGGGCGCCGATGATGCTGCTCCGTACGTCAACAAGGCTTTGTTATGTCTCCAAAAGCAAGATCCTGCTCAAGCCGAAGAGTTTTGTCACAAGGCATTGGAAAGTATGTGAAAAAAAATATTGAGATTCGGTAGTGTGCGTATCCGTAAATATAGTTATTTATCACATTATTTTTATATTATTTCTAGTCGATCCTGAGAGCGACGTTGCACTCAATGCAATGAGTCAAATTCTTCATACGCAGAATAAAGTCGAAGAAGCGCTTACGTATATGAAGAGAGCCGTAGATTTGGCGAGAACCGAAGAGGAACTTGCTGCGGCCTTACAATATGTAGAGGTCAGTATTTTACCTTGTCTAACTTGATATGGAGGACATTGTTTCTCTCGAGTCGCTATTTTCCGTGTGCGACTTTTTTGGCATGAAAAATATTATGAACCAGTCCTATATCTTCTCCCTGTCAATTCGCTAATTATGGGCTTGTCTTTTTTGCAGATTGCAAAGGCACAACTTGAATTCCAACGCAACTATCCTGAACGGGCAAATGAACTCAGTATGAGACGATAATAAAGAGTTTGCATGCACTACAGGATTTGATATGTACGAAACATATTCGGAAGGTGCAGCGGCTAATAGCATTACTGATACTGCGAACAATAATAAACACAAAAGCTAATAATAAAGGCATTTTTTTTTTTGGCATCTAGTTTTTTACTTATTGCTTTCGAGTATTTATTTTTAATTGTCGCAATAACCAGGTATTATAAATGTCTATGGGCATTGATGCGCTTTCCATAACACGTTGAACGCCCTTGGCCTCGTCTATCTCTGCTAATAATAAATGTGTCTGCAGTCTTAGGTTATGTGTCTTCCAATCTGGTTTAATGTTCTTGTAATGTTTTATTTCATTCACAAAATAGTCAAACAAGAGTCGTATGTCTTTTTTTAATGCTTGTTTCTGGTAAATCCGTGGGTTCTTTTCCGATTTATATTTTTCTCGCCGTGCTTGATTATTTTTTAAATTCACGCTATCGGCAAGATACAAAGCCTTGACTACATGCTTAAGTATAATATTAAACAACTGGATGTCCGGCTCCACATCGAGCGACTTCATGTCTCGATAGATCAACATCCCCAACTTCCAATTCTGTTGCTCGAGGCATGCAGACAAGAGGATATGGAATGTAGGCAAAGTAGGCGTGAACTTGTTATTTCTTCTCCTCTTTGCCTTTCCCACTTCATCATTAATCATTGCTCTATAAATCGTAATGCCCGACTCGATGTTATCCACTCTCACGAAAGCCCACATGACAGTATTCAATAAATAAACATTAATACTCATTTTCTCGTTCATGATTGTCTCTACCATCTTTACAACTCCAGCCAGATCGTTTTTCATCGCATAAGCATGTGTAATCGAAGTAAGCATTTTAATATTGGGTTTTAATCCGGGTGGCAGTCTCTCTGCCAAAAACTCGGCTGCTGGCGGAGGTATATGAGCTGCGATATCGACTAGGATATTGTGCGATACACGGTCGGGCGTGACCTTTGCGCTATCCATCAGTTGAAGAACAGCCATGACAATCTTGACGTCAAAAAAAGTCAAGTGCGGATAGAAGCTTGTCGTAAAGGAGAGAATGCAGTTATAGTCGCGCTTGAGAAGAGGAATTCGGTGAGATTTCATGTCTGCATAAATGTCTAATAGATAATTGAGAAACTTTCTTGATCGAGTTGGTTGCTCAACAATTAACTGTATTACGTGTCTAAATTTTGTCCGAGTAAGTTTGATGTTTGAATGTCGTAATTGAGTGTATGCTTCCCACGTTTCCTCGACGCTGCCTCGTCCGAGCCCCATATAGAAACTGGCAAATAATTTCGTTGCCTTGGATACACTTGCCAATTTCGCTCGATTCATTGTTCCGAGTCTATTGGGTCTCGCCGTATTTCTCATATTGGGACTTGTCCCGAAAAAGTAATCGAGTCATTTTTTTATTGTAAAAAATTTTTTGTAATACATTTAAGTAAAAAATCAGCATCGGCACACTGATATACTAAATAAACCCGCAACATACACAAGTTAAACTCGTTAAGCCGAAATTGCATTAAGCCCAAGTTTTTCTGGTTTACCAAATTTTTATTATAGCGTAAGCCGAACTTTATTAATAATTTAATATACCGAAGCTGTCACGTGAATGTGTATTGATTGGTTCGTTTCTTGAAAATCGCTCTAATAATCAGGCAGTTTTGTTTACCTTTCCAGTTACAGAATTTTCGGCCATTACGTATTAGCGCGTCAGGTATTTTATGGAAAAATCTTTTCGTTTAAAGTGCTTGTTACAAATAACTTTAATCCTTCAGAATGAACGATCATGGAGAAAGTTCAACGAGTAGTTCTTCAAATATTGTGTCCATAATAAGCAATTCAAAAAATAAAGCACCAGAGAAAAAAATAAAACGTAAGGCGCTGACTGGCCTCGAAAAAAAAGCTTTTTGTATTAAAGCGCAAGAACATCCTAATTTTACGTTGGAAACTTTGGCAATCGAGTTTGGAATAAAACCCAACACAGTTCTACCTTACCTAATAGTATCGCGGTCGTCGAAACTGAAGGTGTTAACTAATACAGAGTTAATTGAACTTGTTGATCAATTTCCTATCGATAATCAAGACGTTAGAACGGAAGTGGCAGAATTTGTTAATTTGGAAGATTCCGTCTCTGTACATGATATGCCGACAACTGGGTCGATTATTGCAACAATAGAAGGAGAAGAATTATCGGAGTCGGAGGACTTTCCAATAGCAAAATTCATTTTATCATAAATCAGCTCTCGAGCACGTCAATTCTTTGCTTTTATATATTAGTCAAGATTGTGACAATGAACTCGAAAGTTAAAGAGAATAATTGAGACAATACGTTACAATGAATAAGCTTATACTGTTGAATTGTAAGTCTAAAATTTGTATATAAATTCGGCTTAGTGCGAAATTTAATAAAACGAAAATCTCGATAAGTACCTCCGACTTTTGTCTTATCGAGTTTGCCTTGTATTCTTTTTTTATCGCTACTTTGGCCTCCTCGACTGGGTTAAGATCTGGACTATATGGTAACCATGGCAATACACAATTTGTTCAAGGTTATTGTCATGCGGGAAATCCAGCGTCGTCCGTACAAATTTTCATTGAGAATTGCAGATACGGGAACGCGCATCCTTTTGTCACGTGCATATGTTGCTTGTATTTTTCGCCATCTCTCATTTTTAACTTTTAAATCCAAAACTAGAATGGTGTTGCGCATCATCATGTGTGTGACGAAAAAAGTTGCTTCACTAGAATATCATGGCACTCACATCGAAATTACACAAATGGCAACAAACATAAACGTTTACAATTACCGAGGAAACATCCTCCTCCGACTTCATCGAAATTAGAAAAGTTGTCGAAAGCTATAAATTTACACTTCGTTATGATTCCTCAAGAACTCTTGCAGAATCCTTGGATAAAGCCGATGTAAGTTTTCCTGGGCAATTGACAATAAGTATTTGAGATTGTATATTCATAACTAGCATACTTTGACTACAGATTCCGGAAGAACCTTATTTCAACAAGCTCTTAAGGATTCTCACTACTATTAAGCTGTTTGCTTTTCCTCTTGGATTTTATTTACTTATTATCACATTTTGTTGTGGTTATAGACATGTATTGATGAGAACTTATCGTACGGAAGTGAATTAACGGACATTAAAAAGATTACTCAATTATGTGAAGGTAAACTAACTAACATATCATGTGCTAGCTTGATAAAGCTATGTGAACAAAAAAATGATAAGGAACAAGAAAACATGGATATTACTGGTTTTGAAGGCCTCTCGTTCTTATGATGTTACAAGATCCCAGCTCATTCATTTTCACGCTATTGCAATTATCGCCACAGGATGGCTCAACAGGCCGCGCATACACACTTATTTTTTAAAAATAAGAAAGAAAAAAACGAGGGCTTTGTCACACGCACATTGAAGAATGGATTTATTGCTTTAATTCCGGTCAGTACTAATGATATTTCCATCAAGATTTAAGCGACTCCAACTGAAAATACTCTTAAATTTACTAGTTATGGAATAGAGAGTATTGTTTTAGCTGCTCAAAAACCAGGCCTGACCCCTCCAGTTGTGTACAATACACGCATAAATAGTCCTGATTAAACGTCTAGTCAAGCTATTTGACAAAGTCTTGGTTCAAATAAAATCCCTTGGGGGTTCGATATCATGTGATAGACGTGAAAATTCTTCACACTAATTAGATCCTGATGAGTCAGATGAAGTATTATGTTTAGTCTTAGATTTGGATTTTGATAACTTCTTTTTAATATCATCTATTTCCAACTTAAGTTCAAACAAATCATCATCTAATATATCAAATCTATTCTCAAGATTTTTAAGCCGTTTCTGTAGACCCAAAGGGTCATTGCTTCCCAATAATTTGGGATAGCGGGGTTTTTTTCTTGATATACTAGTAATATAACATTCTCCTGCCATAGTAGGAGCATTTGTGTCTGTATATTTATATTTATCACTCGACATTTGTATCTTAATTATATTAAATAGATAAAAAAAAAATAAATATAAATATAAATATGAATATGAATATAGTTATTGCAGAGCAATGGCTCTTCGAGCCTACACATTGTTTAGCTGTACCTGAAATTCTCGAAAATATCTTTAGTTATATTATTGCCTTGCAATGGGGCTCTGACCCTACAGATTATAAAGACTTTGTTAAGCTTCTTAGAGTTAATCATACATGGCAATTAGAAGCAGTTCGAGCTATTTTAAAATTATATAAAGATAGATTTTATCGATATAGTCATAATATACTTAATATATTATTAATAAGTGATTTTTATAGTATTATATTTGGAATACATAAGTCGGTTTATAATAAAATATATCAACCAGGTCTTGAAGAAAATATACATTATGTAGATTATGTAAAGGAATTCGAAAAAATACAATCCAATGTTGAAAATATGAACTTCAATCATTGAATCTCTACCTTTGACTATAACGAAAAAAATTGATAATCTTATAATGGATTATTTACTATTAGAAAATAAGATTGATAAAATATTATGACCCTTTAGGGTCGCCTTCGGTCTGATATTCTGGTTTTAGTTCAAGCATCATCATTCTTTTTGATATACTGTAAAACTTCTAATAATAACTCTCTAATATCATCTATATCAGATGCTAATTCATCGAATTTTTCGGGGAAATTTATATACTGCATACTGTTTGCTTGTCAATTGTAAATATATAGTGATACTATTTAACCTAAGATTTGAGCTTAACCATCATAGCTCTTTTTTCTGCTTCTTCAGGAGACATTCCAGATGAAACCATGCGTTTATATGCATAAATTCTCCAATGACCATATGGTAGAGTACGAATTCCATTTAATAAAATCCAGCGTTTATTATCATAAGGATTTAGCCCGATTTTATTTGGTGATCGTAACTTCGGAGTCCATACATATCATGTCTGGTTAATTTTCGAGTTTTAAGACATTTCAAAAACTTGTCATGTCGAAGCTCCCTTTTGACAACGCATTTCTTTACACCCTTTGCCTTTTGGATACCATGCTTTTTCTCCCAATCTTTTATACCTTGAGATTTTCTAGATTCTTCCTCCTCTAATTCTTTCAAAATCTGCATTTGTTTCAGGAGTTTTTGGATCATGCCCCGCTGGAAGTACCGAATACATTTTTGGCTTTAAACATACTACTTAATCTATTGCTTCTCCACTGCATTCATCTTTCATTAGAAATAAAATCTCCAGAGTTATTAAGATCGAAAATATCAGGCCTTTTTTCATGTCATTATAAATATCATCAGTTTCAATCCATATAATAAGTGAATCTGTATCTGTATAAAGAAGTCGAGCTTTTTCTCCATAACGAGATTTTATATATCCATACCAGAACTCATACATCATAGCCTCGAGAATTGCTTGTCCTACAAATAATGGTTTATTTAGAGTTACTGTACCTTTTAACATGTGAACTGCTGTAATTCCTCCCTCATATGCTTTAAAGCCTACATATAATGGGGATCTAACAAGACGAGTTAGTTTTTTATCTTGATCAGATCTAAGTAATTCTACTCTCATATGCTTACGAACATTTTCCATTTGCTTACCAAAGACTGAATTATTTTTAAGCTTATAATACATGGTACCAAAACATCTTTATTGGCTTTAGCAATTTTTCGTTTGCGAATATTTTCCTCAATACAGTCGTCCCTCTCTACAGTCACCCCCTCTATAAGCACAATTGGGTTACAGTCACACCTTTTTACGGAACCGACC